TATGTATATATTTATGACTAACTATTGCCCGCGACTTCGTCCGCGTGGTATTAGAAAACATACGAACTATATATAAATAACAAAAAGCTACGTATCCCTCGGGAACCGGACATTACTCGGGGATGAACCTTATTCCATATGTACTCCAGGCTTTCTTTTATATCTGAGCGAAATTTCAGTAAGATATGTTGAACCGTTGCAGAATGATCGAGTAAACATTAAAAAACTAAATTAATGAATCGCATTGGAACCGTAACTATTTTCGGCATATATGTTCTTCCAGACTATGTTCTAAACCTGTGCCAAATTTCATGAAGGTCCGTTCAGCCGTTTAGGCTACAAACGCTAACAAACATCCATCCATCCATCTATCCATCCATCCATCCATCTAAACTTTCGCGTTTATAATATTTACATAATTATATGACATGGAAGACTTACAGCCTAAATTGGCTCAAGTAACTAAAAAACAGTTGACTGTAAACCAATGAAAAGCCAATATATTTCACTGTTTATATTAATACAAGTATTTTTTGAACATACTTGTATTAATATATAACATCGATACGTTATAATGAGTGATTTTTTTTTAATCGGACCATGGTCAGGTCATATTAATCTATCTAGACATGACACCACATACAACTGAAGAACTTTGTAAAATGAACTCAACAGAAAGTAATACATTAATATTACTAATATTATAAATGTGAAAGTTTAGATGGATGGATGTTTGTTAGAGTTTGTAGCCTAAACGGCTGAACGAATCTCGATGAAAGGCATAGATGTAGAGGATAATCTGGAACACATAGGCTACTTACTTTTTTTTTTAATTCCAAGCAGATGAGTTGTGGGCAAAAACTAGTATAAAAAAATACAAAGAGATACAAAGAAAACAAATACTTAACCTAACTTTATTCCTTAACATTTCAGTTCCCGAATATGACGAATCTACACAACGCACCGTACTTCTTGATGAGTGGACCCGCTAAATACATTCTGTCACTGGAGAAGGCGGACCCCTCCGCGAAAACATACGCATTCCAGTACAAATGGCAGAAGAATGATACTACAAACGTTATTGGTTTCTCTTTCGACACGCCTGATAGCAAAGTAAGTTGTTATAATTATTATTTTTACTTAGAAAGTCATTTTTTTTTGTTAATTTTTTTGAATCTTAAATAAAAAATATACTATTGTTCATTTACGAATTTATGCCTTCCGATACTACTTTTGAGAAATTACGGTCGAATATTAAAACATTTAAATATGCAACGGTTCTTAAACGATAAATACCCGCTAACTACAAATTCTATCAAAGTTAAAGTCTGTCAGATATAAGCGGCGTTTATAAAGCGAAGAATTTAAGTTTTATTTTAGCATCTGCCCGTTAGATACTTTGATGATGCTAGCAGCACCTTAATTTAGATTTTTTATATAAAAAATCTACACTAAAAACAGTATAAGTGACCACCAAACTATTATGAGTGACAATGTAATTTACTCACAGTTCTTTTTATTTTTAATTTCTTAAACTAAGCATATTTAATACTATTACAATTTTTTCAGCTTAGTTTAAAAAAATGAACTGAACCTTATACCACTCATAGTTATACTATACGTCCCCAGTGAAGGTCTTGGAGCCAACTCGTAAGTTAGTGACTAGGCCTTAGTCAAGCACGCTGCACTGCGGGTTGACTTCACAATTTAAATTTCTTCGCCGATATGTGCAATATCACGATCTTTTCACCTTAAGAACATTGTTGTCTTACTCTCTTATCACAATAATTAAAATCTTAATAGGAGAAGCGTATGATAGACGCATCAATGGTAATATCAAACACGAGCACATCCGCGTCACTGAGCCTGCAGTCGGCGCGCAGCACGCTCGCCGCGCACGCGCTGTGCCGCAACCTGCCGCACGACAAGTCGCTGCAAGCGCGCCTCGACGTCGACGGCAGGAAGCAGTTCGACACCACCATGTCTGTCACGCGACACGACATCAAGCACGGCCACGTCTGGATACCGCACGCCTACTGGGTCGTCAATAATGAAACCATCGCTGAATTATCCGGTAACTGTTTTTAGATATAGCTTAAGCGACTTCCTCCGTGGAATTGAAAAACAAAAGTGAGTAGGTATGTCTTCTTCCAGACTATACTCTCTATCTATGCCAAATATCATCGAGATCTCTACAGCCATTTAGGCTACAAACTCTAACATCCGTCCATCCATCCATCCATCCAGCCATCCACCTAAACTTTCGCATTTATATTAGTAAGATTAGTAAGATATAACTGGCTTTCGCCCGCGATAGTGAGTAGCTATGTGTTCTTCCAGACTATATTCTACATCCGTACCAAATATCGGATTATTCCCAACCGTCACCCCGCTCTGTCCCCACGTGAGTATAAAAAGCTTTATCCGTCCTACCTTTCGTTTGAATTCAAAAAACAAAAAAAGTAGTTATGACGTGACTATATTCTATATCTGTGCCAAATTTTGCTGAAATTCATTCTCCATAAACACCCATACCTCCATCCATCCATATACACTTTGACAGTTATATTAGTAATAATTTAGTATTAAGTAATAACTTTCCCATTCCCTTAGATAAACAATATTGGTATACATCTTACTAATATTATAATTGCGAAAGTTTAGATGGATGGATGGATGTTAGAGTTTGTAACCTGAACGGATCGCGATGAAATTTCCCATATACGTAGATTATAGCCTGGAAGATCACATGAGCTATTAATTTTTTTAATTCGACGCGGACGGAGTCGCGGGCGAAAGCTAGTCTATTATATTCTTATGCCAGTTGAACATAACGGTAACTTAATAAAGAAATTGTTTATTTCAGGTACAGTAAAAGTAAAAACTAAAGGCGGTGTGACACAATGGGATATAACCACAGACTTCCAGACGCGACAACTCGCGAGTCGACTGATTGGTTACTACACTTTAAATGGACCCACTCACGGTGCGAAGTTACAACTCGACTATGAGTTCTACAGGAACCCTAAGCAGAGTATTAGGTTGGAAGGCGTGTACAGCGAGCGTGTGCTCGGCTATAGACACGACCTCTATGGAGAGTTGTCTATGGACTTCACTGCTTACCCTGGATACAACTTTTACGCTGTACTTAGGAATGTGGTAAGTAGTGTATGGAAATCAAAATTTTATATAGTACTATTTTTGTTAATTGACATCTATACTAATATTATAAAGAGGAAATATTTGTATTTTTGTATGTATTGAAATAAATTAACTACTAGGCTGATTTTAAAAATTCTTTCACTGGTATAAGCTACGTTAAGCTCGATCTCATATGTCAATGCTGTCGCGATCTCGTGCGGAATTAAAAAAAATGTTAGCCTATGTGTTCTTCCTTACTTTGTTCTAAATCTGTGCTATTTTATGGAGATACATTCCAACGTTTACATTATAATTTCCAACAAATATCCATTTAAACTTCTTCATTTATTATTTACTTCATTTATTATTTTTAAATTTCAGAAAACACAAAGCCACATCGACATTGGGTTCAACGTGAGCGCGTCTCGTCAGCAGAAGTTAGAGCCGGCTTTCACTGCGACCTTCAAACGTATAGACAAACTGAGCGGAGTGAAGTTGGCCGCGGAACTCGCCATTACCCGACCGCCTAGACCTATATTGTTGAAGTTTAACTTTGAAGAGGTTAGTAACGTATCTATAAAAAAATGCCATTTTAAGAATCGTATAAGTGAAAAATTTTTTCCAATAAAATCACGCTAAATCCAGAATTTGTGCTGTTCATAACATTTATTGTTAACTTGTTTTCGCCCGCGTGAAAAAAAAGTAGGTAGCCTAAGTGTTCTTTCAGACTATCCTCTAAATTTATGCCAAATTTCATAGATATCCGTTTAGCTACAAACTCTAACAAACATCCATCCATCTATATCGCATTTATATTAGTAAGATTTATGAAATGTTAGTTTTCTATAATTTCTTTTAAACATATGCAAAGAAATATTTAATTTCTTCAGACGGGACCAAAATACTCAGCATTGGCAGTACTAAACTTCAACCCGAAGTCACGTGAGATAGTTCTATCAGGCTACGTGTTCGCGCCGGCGGGTTCTCAGCTATACGTGGACGCGGAAGCTAACATCACGTTACCCACACTGCACCCTTGTACACTGCGCGCCAAGCTGCATGAGAAGCAACCTAATGAGTTCCAGGTTGGTATACTTGAATAATAATCAGTTCCACGTTGGTATACATGAATAATAATAAGTTCCACATTGGTATACACGTAAAGCAAAGAGTTCCACGTTAGTATACACGAATAATAATGAGTTCTATATTGGTATATATGAATATTAATGTTACACTTTGGTAAAACTGGTAAAACAATGAATTCCACGTTAGTATATACAAATAGTAGTGAGTACCACATTGATATGCACGAATAATAATATGGTCACTTTGGTATAAACGAAAAATACTGAGTACCATTTTGGTATATAAAAAAATATTTTTTTTCACGTGGTATATACTAAAAATAATTAGTTCCACATTGGTATACATAAATATTATTGAGTTCCACATTGGTATACATAAAACACAAGTATATATGTGTAATTTGTATAATTTACAGCTGAACGCGGTGGGCATCTGGTTCACGGGCGTGGATTTCAACGTGGACGCGTTATACCAGGACCAGTCTAAGACCAACCTCGCGTCGCACCGCGTCAAGCTCACATTGAACAGCAGCCATTTTAAAGATATCCTGCTGGATGCGCGCTTCACACAGGATAATAGACAGATCACATTTATTGGACAGGTATAACGTTAGCACGCAACTTCGCGCGGTATTAGGAATATATGAAATATGAAAGAAAAATAAGTAAACCTTGGGAATCTATTTTTCAGGAATATCCCATGTGTTAGTACAGATTTTGTTTTATATGTGACTTTTAATAAAATATATAGAAACTTTGTAGAATTGTCAAATAAATTAATGTATCCAAAGGAAACTAACTATTTCCGGGATCAAAAGTGGTTTATGTGTTTTTACAAACTGTGTTCTACATTTGCGATAAATTTCATCAAGATCCGTTAAGTTATTCTGGAAATATGATGTAACAAACATCCATTCAACTGATTAACACTTGGCCAGTGCAGATGGCTAGTAGCAATAACTGGACTGTCAACTGGCACAGTGTCAACGCTAACTGGAGCCATTATATAATCTATTATTGTCCTCCGTAATATTCCAACTGTACTGGCTAGATGTCGACCGCGCATTCATATTAAAACGACTCCATGCGCTATTTAATAACTAGCTTTTGCCCGCGACGCCGTCCGCGTGATATTAAAAAAAAGTACCCTATGTGTTCTTCCAGACTATCTTTTAAATCTATGCCAAATTTAATTGAGATCCATTCAGCAGTTTAGTCTACAAACTCTAACAAACATCCATCCATCTAAACTTTCACATCATAGTAATCATACTAATATTATAAATGTGAAAGTTTAGATGGATGGATGTTTGTTAGAGTTTGTAGCCTAAACTGCTGAACGGATTTCGATGAAATTTGGTATAGATGCAAAGGATAGTCTGGAAGAACACATAGGCTACACTTTTGTTTTTTTTTAAATTCCACGCCGACGGAATCGCGGGCAAAAGCTTTTATAGTATGATGTGTACTCTAGGGCGAGTACAACACGGCCAGTTACCGTGCGTTAGTACGTCACGTGTCGGTCGCCGAACAAAGGTTCAGTACGTACGGGGAGGTGGACGCGGCCGGACGTGCCTACAGCCTCAGTCTCAACGCGGACCTCAATAATAACACCGATGTTAGCGCACATCTGCACTTCGACCAGTATGTAGCTTTATTGACATATACTAGCGATTACTCGCGACTTTGTCCGAGTAAAATTACATATATTATACTAACTACATATAAGTTAAAGCCCAAGGGAAACACAAAATTTTTTAAGTTATAGAGGTTTTAAGCTCTGATGGGAATAGAACATATTGTTTTTTGAAGTTAGAGAGGTTTTTAAGTTACCGAGGTTTGGGGTACAGACTACCAATTTTGCGGCGTAGGGTTCGAATCCCGCTATTCGACTATTAGTGAACCATATCCTAGCACAAGCCTAGAGCTTAGTTGCTAAGGCTCAAGGATATATTAGTGAATTAACAAAAATATACTAATGTTTTTATCTAAAAGAAACATGTAGCTTTTAATGGTTTTAATGGTTGGATTGTAACAGTTTGAAATCGGTCCTGTAGTTTTTTATTTAAATATATACAAAAATCCAAAAATACAAATCGTTCTAGTATTAGTATTAATGGTGATTTAATGATTATTTTATTTACTACAATTTTGTTAATAATAACGTTATATCTTTTCAGACTGCGTGATGTAGAAATATCATACCAACGTTCAAGCACGGATTTACAAAAACGTCTAAGTGCGTCTATAAACTGGGATGCGAACAGAGATCCCTCGCAGAAGCTGAGTGTAGACGTGCAGCTGGACAGCAAGGGGCGCTGGCATCGCGCTGGACACCTCGCGTTATACTATCCTGGCAGAGTTGTTAATGGGGAATTCGAGTTTTTACTTAAAGGTAACTACATCTTGTATTAGCGTCAAAAACCAATTAGAGGGGTTAGTATTTAATTTTTTTTTTTCTAAAGATGTTTAAATAGAAAATTGACAAGTTGGTTTTGGTTTACGGGGATGTCTTGGTGTTTTAGGAACCTTAGAGTAGAAATTGTCGAATATTTATTCTACAATTTTCGACTCTAATAGGGGGGGGGTGTCGTAAACCTCTTTTTTGCACTAGACAATGGCCACAAAGGGTGTTTAATGGGTCAAAACCCGTATAACCCTGCTTTACCTCCAAAAGGCGAGGCATCTTTTGAAGATCCCCCCTCCCCCAATACCAAAAAAGGGGGCGTTGATTAGATCCGTATATCAAAAACTTGACTTCATCTATCAAATGGGATTTTTTGGTTGTTTATCGTTTAATATATATTCAATTTGAATTTTTTTTCCCTCCTTAAAACTGTCGATTTAAAAACAGACAGTTGATGTTTGCGAAAAATAATGATCTCCATTTAATGAGTGAATTCGGTTCCTAATTTTCCCTATATGTATATCTCGTAAAACTTTTTTTTTTTTTAAATATTAAGACATTTCAAAAATTCAATAATATTTCCTTTAGCATTCCACCCAAGCGCTAAGCTTGAGGAATGGTTTACAATAGTCGAATGGCGGGATTCGAATTCACGATCTGTGTTATCATTAGGCTATTGCCGCTTAGTCTCTATAAAGGCGCTAAACTATTATCGGGCTTTTTATCTAAAAATGTTTATTTAATTATTTATTAGATTGGTTTTGTGAGTGGCACGTGCGTATGGGCTGGGCGAGTGACGCGACTGTACTGTGGCGTGTCAAGATGTACTCTGAGGCACACGAGGAGACAGTGTACGCGCTGCTCTCCAGTCTGGACACCCCCTTCAGCGGCTGGCGTGATACTGCCTTCAATGTTATGTGAGCATCTCGCAACTTTTATTTACAAATGCTTAAATGACTAGTGATGTACTGTCATAGATAGAAATAAGATTTTAAAATAAAATTATGTTTTAACTTTAAAAAATAATATAGAAATAAATATACATCCGTTCCCCAGGTCTCTAACTAAAAATGTGTTAGAGGAACGAAAAGGCAGCATGGTTCCGTCCATAAAAAATCCCTTAAAGACAACGAAGGTCTTTGTTGGCTTGAAGTTTTTGTTCTTTTCCTGCATGTTTTATCCAATTTATTTACCCCCTAAGTTTAATAGTGTGTAAATATGTAGCCTATAGTGTGTTGAAAATATACATCCTTTCCTCTTAAGATAAGGATGGAAAGGAAAAGGGACTAAAATTAGACCTCCGGTCGTGGTATTGCTGGGGACGAGCCGACCCATTCGTGCGAAGGTGTTAAAGCGGGCTCTACCACTGTTAGTTATTACATTGTCCTGTAGGTGGCGCTACCAAGATAATCTTCAAGCAATAAACGGCAGTATGAAATGGCAAGAAGATTACCTAGCATTCAGTCTACTTGCTGACTATTTGTTCAAAGCTAACGAGTTCTATGGCGAGTTGAGTGCTCTCGTTAACTCGACAATACCGACTTTACCGCGGGCTGCGGCTATAGCGCGACATAGAGCGGTCTGGAAGAAGAGTGCGGATACATTGCTTAGTTTTCAGGTCTGTTTCTTTATATGACTGCAATTTCAATCTTACTCACTAGTAAAATGTATGTGATTTTTTTATTTATTTGTCAAACAGCACAAAATACATAATTAAATAAAAGCGTCCCTAAACCTAATGGCAGGTTTAACCAGACACTTTGGGTATGTTGTTTGGATGGATGGATGTTAGTTAGAGTATTCACTGTTAGACGGATCTTAGTGGAATTTGGCATAGATTCAGAATACTCTAGAAGAACACATAAACTATTTACTGTTTTTTTTTTAATTTCGACCAAACGGAGTTGGTTAAACGCTAGTATGTAAATAATTGATAATTTAATTTCAGTATAATGATGAAGGCAAGCTGATGATCAATTCGTCTTGGAATCTGGAAAGAGGTGAAAAGGAGAATAATATTACAGGCAGAGTGACGCTTGTTACTCCCTTCCAGGTAAATTTCATATATTTTTATACTTTTTGCACAATTAAGGGCCTATTCCACTAAATTGAAAATTATCTGATAATCTAACGAGTAAAATATGTGATGGAAATATCGGATTTTGATACCTTATAACAGTGACGTCATAATAAGCTATCTGAACCTCTATCAGCCAGTAGTGGGACAGGCCCTAAGTATACTAAACCTAAGCTACGACAATAAAATTAAGATTAAATGGTGTTATAGTTTTTTCTTACAATTTTTAAATAAATGCGAAAGTTTAAATAGTTGGGTGGATGTTAGAAAAGGACTTCCAGAACTTGAAGGCATAGATATAGAACATATCCTGGAACACATTGACTACTAAATAAATACATTTTAATTCAGCGCGGAGTCGCGTGTAACAACTAGTATGATAAAAAAATGTCTGTAAGATGAGATTTGTTTTAATTTAGTTTTTTTTTTTATAACATAAGGTGACAAACGAGCAAGCGGCCACCTGAATCCGCCAAAATGGCGAAGCGACCGCTGCCCATAGACATCCACAATTGCAGATGCGTTACCTACCCTTATCCGACGGAGGAGGAGACACACATAAAGAGGATATTTCCCCATCCTGTGCATCTCCTCCACTGTCAAATCCACCTCCCCTTCCCATCCTCTATATATGAGAAAATGATGGTAAGGAGTAAGGGACTTAAATTAGGTCTCCGGCACCACACTCATCAGACTGTACACGGAATTGCTTCCACTTCACGCCTGTCTTCTGTGTGGTCGTGGTATTACTGGGGGCGAGCCCTGCAGTGCTAACATGTTAAAGCGGGCACTACCACTGTTAATAGTTTCAATAGTTGGCTATAAATATATTATTAAGGGCGTCGGTGGCTCAGTGGTTTAAGCACTTGACTTGTAATCTACAGGTCTTGAGTTCAAATCCCGCCGCCATGTACCAATGTGATTTTCAATTTTTCGAATTTTCATATGTACATAATTTACCCGACGTTCTTACGGTGAAGGAAAACATCGTGATGCCTGCACATGTCGGCGAAGAAATTCAATGTGTGAAGTCAACCAACCCGCACTCGTCCAGCGTGGTTGACTATGGCCTAGTCACCCTACCATTAGGGTAGGCTCCGTGCCCTCTCGGTGGGGACGTATAGTGAGCTGGTGATGATGATGATGATGTATTATTTTTACTTCCAGGGCTACACGAGTGGGTTCTTACGCACGGAGTTTGTGATAGGACATAAGAGAGATATCAAGGGAATTACTTATTTAGACTTGGAGGAGAAAGTCGTCAAGATATATGTTGATGGTGAGTATTTATTTTGAAGATTTTTGTAAATTGTTTGTAGTTCTGTATTTAGTTTCATGTGGGTGTTTATTATGTTATCGAAATAAGGATGTTGTAAATGTGATGTATTTTCATTACTAGAAAAAATAAAATGTTTGTCTTATCTGTCTGCAAGTTAATTTTTGTTGCGATTAATGTTGGGAACGGCTGGGCCGATTTTGACAGGACTTTGACGGGAAAGTGTCTACTGTTTGCGGGAATGTTATGGGATATTTTTTAAATTGCGTGTTGACGAAGTCACGGGTGACCACAATCTTTGTCATTTATGTATAATGGATGTATAGATATTTGTTAGTGTTTGTAATCTAAACTGCTAAACGAATCTCGATAATGGCGTTATGTAGTACTCTTTACTGCCGTAATATCGCTAGTGTTGCAATGCTGGCGCTATCATCGCCACGATGGCGCTAGTGTTACATCGATTCCGGCTTGTTAAATATATCATATACGAGCTGTTGCCCGCGACTTCGTCCGCGTGGTATTAGAAAACATACAAACTATATAAATTACACAAAACTAAGCATCCCTCGGGAACTGGACATTTCTCCGGGATGAAGTTTATCCCATCTGTACTCCAGACTTCGTTTTATATCTGTGCCAAATTTTAATAAGATATGTTGAACCGTTGCAGAATGATCAAGTAAACATTAAAAATCTATAATAATGAATCCCACGGGAACCATAAGTATTCCCGGGATAAAAATTAGCCTATGTGTTCTTCCAGACTATGCTCTAAACGTGTACCAAATTTCATGGAGATCCGTTCAGCCGTTTAAGCTACAAACGCTAACAAACATCCATCCATCCATCTAAACTTTCGCTTTTATAATATTAGTAAGATTAGTAAGATAAGATTTGTGTAATTCCAGGTCACATGCGACGTATAACCAACTGCATGTTAGTGGTGAACGTGAGCAGCCCCGCCAGCGAGCAGTCGCGGATGACGGCGCGCTTCGGCTTCGTGGAGCGCGACCGCCATCTGGTGGCACTCGTCGTCACCCCCAACTCTACCACAGGTGACGTCACACACCACCATCACCATTATCACCATCACTATCATAATAAGGAGTAAAAAGTTAGAATGGTATGGGCATGTTATGAGAAGGGATGAATCGCATGTAACAAGAAGGACGTTAGTTATGAATGTGGAGTACACCGGTAGACGTAGAAAGAGATGGATGGATTGCCTGAAAGGTGACATGATCAAGAAGGGAGTGATGACTGAGATGACGGATGATAGTTATTTGGAGGACAAAAACCCGGGGCAACGACCCTACGGGATTAGGATAAGGCAGGGGAGATGATGATGATAGTATAGTCATCATCATCATCTCCCCTGCCTTATTCTACTTCTGTATCTCGCAGGTATTACTCCTCTAGTTTGAAAATGCCAGAATTTGAGTTACCATAGTAATTTCTTTCCTGCTATTGACTGAGAATTTAAGTAACTATAGTAACGCACAAGAATGGTACATACGCAACTGTATTAATGGAATATTTTTTAAACTAGGTATACTTTACGAATGTATTGAAATAACTTAAAAAACTACTAAGCAAATTTCAAAATTTCTTGCACCTTAAAACTACGTTAATTTCATGCGTATAAAGTCGCAACTGTTAATCTAAACTAATACCATAAAGAGGAAAGATTTGTATTTCTGGAGTTTAGTATGTATTCTATTCACATTTAAAATTCTTTCACCATTAAAAACAATCTTTTTGTATTAGTAATGTGTAAATGTGTATAGTGCAGATGTAATGTGTAGATGTGTATTGTGCAGGTGTAATGTGTAAAAGTGTATTGTGCAGGTGTAATGTGTAAATGTGTGTTGTGCAGGTGTAATGTGTAATTGTGTATTGTGTAGGTGTAATGTGTATTGTGCGGGTGTAATGTGTAAATGTGTATTGTGCAGGTGTAATGTGTAGATGTGTATTGGGCAGATGTAATGTGTAGATGTGTATTGTGTATTTGTAATGTGTAGTTTGTGTGGTGTGCAGGAGTGGAGGTGCTGCTGCAGCTGCAGTCGCTGCAGCAGTTCCAGGTGCTGGGCCACGTGGCGCTGCCGCTGCACTACCTCAGCCGCGCGCTGCTCACCGCCAGGCGCGCACCGCAACAGGTACAACATACCTTCTATCTATACTAATATAATAAAGCGTAAACACAATACTTTGTGGCGTAAGATGTTAGCAATCACAGCATATTTTTGAATAATTCTTCCTTCAATACAAATCCCTACACTTATGATACGCTTTAGGCTATATATTTGCACGCTATTAAACTTAGGGGGTGAACAAATTGATGAAACCTTCATGCGGTATTATAGAAACGTTATTTTTGAAAGCTGTAAATGAGTATTTGACAAATGTCAACAATAAAATAAAGTATTTAAATTTTCACGCGGATTAAGCCGCACGAGAACAGCTCGTATTTCATATCTAAAAATATAACTATTAAAAACCTCAATTAAATTAATAAACTAGTCTTGGTACCAAAATATTTCAAGCAATGTCAACTCACTTCGAGTTTACAGTTGTCTCTTTCTTTCGTATGTAGTGTGAAAGAGACGTAAGATCTTTAATTGTTTATAGCTGGACTTCCGTGTGGGGTGGTCAGATATGGACTTCGGTTTCACCGGCATCTGGCAATGGAAGTCTGCGTTAGACTTTGTTTATGTATACAAATTGTATACACCTTTAGATGGATTTGAAGAAAATGGATTAGTACTTAAAAATGTATTCGGTGTTAATACCGGCGGGGGATTGGATACTGAACTGTCTATGAGATTGTCTAAACATAAGGTAAGTTTACACTGATTTAATAAGATTCCATTGATGGAATATATCCACAAGTATACTGGTATTCTGTTTGATAGATTAAGGGGCTGTTCCACTAAATTATAAATTGTCTGATGACAATCGAACGTGTAAAATATGTGATGGAAATATCGGATTTTGTTCTCTTATAACAGTGGTGTCATTTTTAAGCTATCTGAGCCTCTATCAGCCAGTGGTGGGACAGGCCCTAAGTTATCTTTATTTAGATGAATGTTTGTTAGAGTTTGTAGCCTAAACTGCTGAAGCGATTTCCATAAAATTTGTCATAGATATAGAGGATAGTCTAGAATAATACATAAGCTACTTTCTTGTTTTTGTTAATTTCACGCAAACGGAATCGAGGGCAAAAACTAGTGGCAAGTCGTAACAGATACTCAGATAAGTGATCATAAAATTGTGGATTAGTATCGCATTAAGTAACTATTTAATGTTTTCTCATACAAAAGTATATTTTTTAATATGTTTTCAGTTCGGTATAGCAATATTATTAGTAGATAAAGGTAAAGGTTTATTGGACGTGATAAAAGATCGATTCCAACACAAGCCGAGTGACCCGGATATGTTCGTGGAGAACTTCGACACGACGGCCAATGTGGTGCTCGACACATTGTACTATCCTACTATCACCTTCCACGGACATATGATGAAGGTACGTGTAAAATGTGTAAAGTGTGTAAATTGTGTACAATGTGTAAAGTTTGTACAATGTCTAAACTGTGTAAATAGTAATGTAAATCTTACTACTTACTAATATTATAAATGCGAAAGTTTAGATGGATGTTTGTTAGAGTTTGTAGCATAAACGGCTGAACGGATCTCGACGAAATTTGGCATAGATGTGGAGTACCGTCTGGAAGATCACATAGGTTACTTAGTTTTTTTTTTAATTCAAACGCGGACCGAGTCGCGCGCTAAAACTAGTCAGCTATAAACGTAATAAGTAAACAAAATAGTTGTGAGAATATACATGCCAGTAGCTGGAATATTTGCATGCCAGCTAACCTGCATGCAATTAGCTTGCACGATATTTGGAGTTTGTAACAGCTACGGGCATGTAGTTCGAGGGGGGTACGAAACTTGTTGTAATTTTGCTGGCATGTGTACACGTACTGGCAATATCTGTCACGTGACAGTAACTGGTATGTCAGCTACCTTATTTTACTGGCATGTGTAGTTCCCTCTTCGATCAATGATAGAAAAATCCTCAATAACTTGCCCTTATCCCTTACGGAAGATCGGCACAGTATGTGCTCTTCCATACATCTTTATCAGCCGTCATATCTGAATACATATCCTTAAGTATATCCTCTATCACTCAATCCATCCATACTTTCTTCGGTCTTCCTCTTCCTTTGTAGCCATCCACATTCATTCTTAACAATTTCTGGTTTATGTCCCCATAGTCTCCATGTCCATACAATCCATACATGATCAATGATAGAATAGTATAAAATTTAAAACTATTAAAGCATTGAAAATTATGATGTGTATAATAGAATCAAAGTACCATAAATTATAATCTTTTTAATCAGTAATATTTATGTGTGATTTCAGTTCGTGGGTCCTGATGAAGAAGATATACTAGAAGCCAACGCAACATTATATTTGCCGAACAAAACGCCAATCATTCTAACTGATATTTTCGTATTGGAGGTATGTTTTTATTACTTTTATATCAAGAAAAAAAATAATAGTCAAAAATAATTTTTCACATGTTGAAAATAACCGATAACTCTAAAAGCGTGCGTACAACTTTGACTATACTATCGCACAACTGTTTAGTCGCGCTTAGATTCCTATAAGTTTATATGGATCTATACACTACTCGATTTATAGTTTGCGACTAAACAGTCGACGGCTGCGAAATAATTGACAATCGCACAACTGTTGTGTTATAGTTTAGTCACAGGTGTCCGCCTGTTTGTAAAAATATAGGTCATCTCTCTTATTCTTACTGAATAAAACAGAGACAGTGTCATTAAAACGATTTTGTTCCAGACGTACACAGAAATGCGTAATACTTTAAACTTAGTTACACCGTTCCAAGCTATTAAGGAGTTAAAGTCGGTTTACACGGTGGACATCACGCTGGGAGAGAAGTTCAACGTGACGTGTGTCGCTCTACTCTACAACGGCACATATTGGCATGAGGTAAGAATTAAAACTTTTGGTTAGTCAATATTTGAATTTGAGTAACTTACTATTTTTAAATCACTAGCAATCGTTCGCAAGAATTAAAAAAAAACAAAGTAAGAAGCTTATTTCTCCTTCTAGACTATGTTCTACAACTGTGACCATTGGTATTCGTTTAAATGTTTTGGAGATACTTAGCAACAAAAATCCGTACATCTAGGCTTTTGTATTTTTAATATTATAAACAAACTGTTTCCACAAATAAAACCTTCATATAAAACGTATATTTAACTCAGTTCTTTTAAAGCAAATGAAAGAGACAGATATTTTTCAGAAGTCTTCATAAATTTTTCAAATTGATTTATTTTTGTATTAATAGCCTTTTAATTTATATGTCCGTCTCTTTCTATCTCCATCACTCTCTAACATATGCATATGTACTATCCAGATATCGTACAAAATTCTGTACGAGTACGAGTGCGGCGAGGACGACGCGTACCAATCGTACTTAGGGTCGGTGGGCATCGCGACCCCGCTGGCCGTGCTGCCCGGCCTGGAGGCGCGCGTCTCTGCCCGCCTCGAGGACGCGCTGTGGAAGATGGCCGCCGACATCAGCATGCCCTCCTTCACCATCAACGCACTTGCCCGACTCGAGGTACGGTGTACTAGCATAGTACGGCAAAAAATATTGTACTTGTAATCTGTACTAATGTAATAAACACGTTTGTGGCGTAATCACAGCATGTTTTTGAATAATTCTTTCTTTAATAAAAATACATAGGCCTTATGTACCTCTTTTGATTATTTTTAAGCATAAAAGAATGAATTTCACGTAATTATATATGTAATTAGCTGTTCCCATCCGACTTCATCCGCATGAAATTATAAAAATTTCATTTTATTGTTTACATTTGGCAAATTATCATTTACAAATGTCAAAATGACATGACCTGGCAAACCTTGGAAACCCTGATTTCTTTTATGGTCTCTTTCCCACATTAGGGTTTTTATCCAAAAAAAAGTACCCATAAGTTCAATGGCGTGAAAATATGTAGTCTAAAGCGTAATGTAAGTGTAGGGCTTTTAATTAAAAAAATAGATATTTAAAAATATGCTGTAATTGTTGACATCTTAGGCAACAAAGAATTTTGGTTTACGCTTTATTATAATAGTATAGATTTTTGACAGACTTCCCAAAAGGAGGCCCATTTTGGGAAGTCGGTCAATTCAATTCCAAAAAGACCCAATTTGTCTGTATGTTTTCTTTTTTTTTGTAACTTTCCAGTTAGACGATCCCTTCATAGAGACATCAGGAAGTCTGAACATGACTTCCACGTATTTGGAGGACTATTTTATTAAGATGGAGTTCAAGAAGGACTTCTCCGATGTAGAGAGTGTGATGGGCGGCGGCATACAGATACAACAAGGAGATTATAATAATTATGTAAGTTTTGTTTTATATTAATACTTCTATACTAATATTATAAAGGGAAAATATTTCTAATTTTTTGTATCTATTTAAATAACTCAATAACTACCTGACTGATTGCAAAAATTCTTTCACTGTTATAAAGCTATGTTATCAGTGAGTAACATAGGCTATATTTTTTATATTCCACGTGGACGAAGTCGCGAGCAACAGCTAGTCTAGATAAAACGAGATGTGGTCCGACTCCGTCCGCGTGGGTTAAAAATTGTAAAAGAATATAGCCTATGTTACTCAGCGATAATATAGCTTTTTAATGGTGAAATAATTTTTGAAATCAGTCCAGTAGTTTTGTAGTTATTTTCATACATACAAAAATACAAATCTTTTCTATATTTAGCGAGATTATCGTTGATTCTGATTGACCTCGTATTTTTCTATTCATGTTTTTATGTCCTTAAATAAATTCGCCCTATTTGTATGTGAGTCCCATATTGAAAAGTATGTTATTTTATGGTATTTGTCACTATAGTGTATATCTTTGATAGTTCTACGGGCGGGCATTTACGTTTTTTTTCTACATATCGATATTCCCTGACTTTCTATGTGACAAAATATGTTAATATCATAGGCGTCATCAGCCAATAATCACGGCAGCTACATTTAATATTTGAATTACACCATTCAAAGTAGATTTCATTTCTTACTAGCCTTCGCCTGCGACTCCGTCCGCGTAAAATAAAGAAAAAAACAAAGTGGGTAGCCTATGTGTTCTTCCAGACTATCTTCTACATAAACACAAAATTCAATCGAACTCCGTTTAGGCTAAAAACTCTAACATCCATCTAAACTTTCGCATTTATAACATTAATATGAAATATTTATATTTTAAAGGCTGGATGCAATTAGCTCTTATATTTCTCTGGTAACACTTATGGCGAAAAGATTCTTTTTGTGTTGAATTTCAGTAACTTTTAATTCTGCAGTTATTTGCGGACGCAGTATGGCGACCTGCGCCACGTCACGTACGGTTCAAAGCACGGGGCGCGCTCGTCCCCGTACTGGAGCCCTCGGACATCGCGCTGCAGTACAGCGAGGAGGGTGGGCAGAGGACGTTGATTGTGGACTTCAATAACCAAGACAGTTATTACTCGTTAAAAGCGGATCAACGACCGGCGTCCCTAAGTGTTGCGCTTAGTAGCCCTCATAAAGGATTCAGGTTTGTACAAATTACGAATGAATACTTATAATTGTTGCCACCTCCCCCTAGAGAATCGGAAAATGTAAAATATGTATTAAAATTACTGAGTTTTCTTACTGTAAATAGTAGTTCCCTATCTGTTCCCTAAGTAGTCTAAATTATCGATTACAATTGTCTCTGGGGGTAAATAATCCGAGTGAAAAAGTAAATATAAACTAAGTTACTTTCACTGTACAACCATTTGAGTACAAACAATAATATCGTTTTCTCTATTTGCAATAAGAGGATGAGAGAGATAGTATTATGTTAAATGCAAAGAGATTAAAAAATGTATAGAGTAGACAGTTGACTCAAAACATTTTTCATACAATCTCACTAACTCTTTTCATAGATAGATTTATTGTAAAATGTCAATACAAAGACACGAGGTGGCATAAACTGGATAACAGATATATTACCTTTTAGAGAAATTACCCCAGAAAAAACATATTCTCTATGCTTAGTCTATCTTTGAAATGTTTTTGGTTAAATGTAGCGATTTAAGGTTTTTACTTGATTTTTCAGAGCAATGAAGATAATAACGGAGTTCGAAAAGGACGATATCCGCGGCTCGTTGGTGACGGACGCTACGGAGTACGCTATCAGCGGCAAAGTTACTAACAGACAGCCGTTAGAGGTATTTTTTTCACATTGGTATATTGAAAAATATCTCTATTATCTAATTGCTACTAGCTATTGCCGAATTCCGCATGTCATTATAGAAACTGTATTTTTTAGATTTCATAAAACCTTTAATTCCAAATCAAAAGCTTCAATGACAAGGAAGACCCTTGACGTTTGTGCTAAAAATTGTATGAGTAACCATGGCAACCTTGCTCCTTTGCTGATAGTTTTTTTTCAACTTTTTTTATCACCTAAATTTAAAAGAGTATTGCAAGTATAGGGTTTTTTATTAAAAAAAATTTCATTCGTATTTTAATCCTTTTCGTGCAAGGAAAATGGATTTCGCAGGGGATGGGACGCGTAGATAGGGAAAATATCCTCCCGTCCAATCCTTTGTGGACGAATAAAGGTGAATGGGCAGAGGTCGCTTTGCTATATTGGCGAGTTTCGGTTGTCATTTTTAACTATAAAAGTTCCTAACAGGCTCTAATAGCAGGTAGCAGGTTATTTTTCCTAAAAAATATAAAATTTCTTGTTCCAGATGTCTCTAGTCCTAATACCGAAAGGTCAAGGTGACCAGATCCGGGTTCGCATGAAGCTGGAAGCGACTCACACCGTGTACGCTCTGACAGCGCACGTGGCCGCAGGCGGGCAAGCCAGCGTGCAAGCCAGTCTGCACGCCAGAGCAGAGATGGAAACCAACTTTACTGATATTTATTTAAAGGTAACATACGGTGAAGGAAAACATCGTGATATATTTGAGAAATAGGCCATTGTTGATTATTGCCTAGTCACCATTAATCTATACATATAACTAAATTGTTTGCAATATAAAAAGAAAATTTCCATGCTTCAGGAAGATGATGTATTTGAGTTGTTGATTACGAAAATCGCATTTTTTTATCTGTCTGTTTGCAAGCTGCATTTGTTCCGGGTTATCTCTAAAACGTCCGGGCCATATTTCGACTGGACATTCACTGCAGGGTAGCTGACATAGATAGGCTTATAGGCTACTATTTAAATAACCTTTCTAATTGTGAAAGGATCAAAATCGGCACAGTTTTTACGTAATTCAAATACATACATAAATACAAATCTTTCCTCTTTATAATATTAGTATAGATGTTAGTTTTAGACCATAAATATAGGTCTAATTTGTGTGTTTTCAGGTGGATATACCCCAAGTGCAAGGCAAGGAGATATTATTAAAGACGCGTGTGGATATGTTCCCCGGACTGCGGCGTGTGCTGAGCGTGCAGGCCGCCACGCCGCTTAAGAAACTAAGCTTCGTTAAAGGAGATACTGACTTTGAGTGAGTTTACTTATAAGTATTTACTTATATTATGGATATTTATCCAGCGAAACATCCAAACGTTCAACATAGAAACGCCCAATGAGTCATTATCCAAACGACCATAATTCCATAATCTAAACTCTTACCGGATCATTATCTAAACATCCACGGTTTCATTATGTAAACGATTCCACTTGATGATTATCCAAACGTCCACCGTTCCGTCATCTAAACGCCCACTTGATCATTATCCAAACGTCCTCCATTCCGTCATTTAAACGCCCACTGAATCTTCACCCAAACGTCCAACTGTCCATCATCTAAACGCCCACTGGATCATTGTCCAAACGTCCAACTGTCCATCATCTAAACGCCCACTGGATCATTGTCCAAACGTCTACCGTTCCATCATCTAAACGCCAACTGTTTTATTATCCAAACATCCACCGTTCGTCGTAGAAACGCCTACTGGATCATTATCCAAACGTCCACCGTTCCATCATCTTAACGCCCACTGGATTCAAACATCCAACGGTCCATAATAAAAACGCCTATTGAATCTTTATCCAAACGTCCATCATTCCACCATCCAAGCGTCCATAGATTCGTCTTGTAAACGTCCACAGGTCCATCATTTAAAGACTAAATCCAAACTTCCACCGGCGCCTTATTCTAAGTATGTAATGTAAATATTATACTATTATGTAACTATTTTTCAGGTTTGGTCCAAAGACTGGATATCTGCTGTGTAAATACGAGCTGCCAGATATGAAGGGAGACGGCGACCTCAAGTGGAGCTTCCTTATTGGAGATCTTTATATTACGGTAACTTATTAAAGTTTATTTTTTTCGTATAACTCTGAGGGCCTCAGTGCATTAGAAATGTTTTTAAATTAAATATTCATGGTAATCTAATTTGTACCTTATCTTGCAGGCAATAGGGCATCAATTAGTAAAGCAATTACAAAGAAGCGTTGATCTGGACATCTTTTTCGGTAACAGTACATCTTCCAGTGGACTGGATAAGACCGAGGCTGGTTTTAGAATGGATTTGGATAAAGTTTGGCAGTAAGTTTTTTATTTCTTTATTTCTATACAAATATAATAAAGCGTAAACACACATTACTTCGTGACGTTGGATGTCAGCATTCATATGTACTTCACACACACGCATGTACTCGCATTCATACACTCATCATCATCATCTCCTTATCCTACTCCCGTAGGGTCGGCGCAACAGGTTTTTGTCCTCCACATAACTCTATCATACGTCATCTCAGTCATCACTCCCTTCTTGATCATGTCACCTTTTACACAATCCATCCATCTCTTTCTAGGTCTACCTCTACCGATGTACCCTTCCACACTCATAACTAACGTTCTCCTTGTAATATGCGATTCATCCCTCCTCATAACATGCCCATACCATGCTAACCTTTTACTCCTTACTTCTCTACTACGGGGGCTATTCTCAAACTTCCTCTAATATACTCATTTCGTATCTTATCCATTCGTGTTACCCCACACATCCATCTTAACATTCGCATTTCTGTCACATGTAGTCTTCTTTCATCCGTCCCTTTTACTGCCCAACATTCAGATCCATACATCATGACAGGTCTTACGACAGCCTTGTAAATTTTCCCCTTTAATTTAAGTGGAATTTGAGGGTCGCATTCATACACTAAACACGCAAAAACACACACTAAGTAAATTTTAACATTTAATATATCTTTCTAATGAAGCAACTTACTTTTAAAATATGACAGTTGATAAGAGAAAGTCCTGTCTCCTGAAACAGTTATTATAATTAGTCCAAGAGACAGAGCCCCATTAAATTTTGTAAAGATGTATTCTTA